AATGCATGTAACAGGATATTTCATACATACAGTTCAGCAGATTCATTTATCACTTTCTGCCAGAAAAAATTTTGAAATTTTGTAATATGTCTTAAACACAGTCTTCAGCAGATGATTCTTGTACTAATTGTGGTATCAGAAAAGTGTCACAAGACATGACATTATAAAGACATTTTCAACAGGTTTTCTGTTCATTCGTTGGTAGGAAAGTGTCTTGGTAAAATGGATATGTCAAACACATTTTTGAGCATTGCATTTTTGACTCATTCAGTTAATGGAATGTGTCACAACAGGGGGATATGTCATACATACATACTTTGGCAGGATAGTTTTAACTCATTCACAATTATAAGAACGCCATAACAGAATGTGATATGTAAAGCATAACTTAAATCATTTTAGTTTTTATAAATTAATGCAGGACAGAGGTTATAGCATGAAAATTATAAATTACTTATGAAAATAAAATTCTCCCCTTAAAATTTGACAAGTAAGAGAACACTCTTTCTGTGTCTCACTCATGTAAATGTGATTTATGTAATGTTTTAGAAAGTGTTACAAATGTTTAATACTATACACTGACATTGTTTCTTAATTTCAAAGGACCTTGTTAACCAAATAGCTAGCAACAAAATATAAAACTAAGTATCATTCACCCTCTCCAGAAAGAGGCAACTTTTTCCTTCTGTCACAAAGCAGGGAGACTAAGTTTTAAGCAAAAATAAAATTTTATCCCTGTTATTTTTAAGAAAAATATAATATTAAAAATTTTGATATATATGCTCTTAGTAATGATTTATCATTCACCTTTTGTTAGAAACATCTATGCAGGCCCTGTCACAAATATGCATTTCATGGGAGGTCTTCTGACCAGCATATTTACAAAGAATATCATAAGGAACGTATTCAACACAAATCCCAGACCAAATTTCACACTGCCCCCCCCCCCATATGTGATTTAAAGAAAATTGCATGGTGCTTTATATATTTTGATTAAACTGGGTTATGTATCATGTACCATCCTTTACAGTAGTTTTACCAAAATTTGGGAATGCTGTTACAGATGTATAACCTACACCTCATCGATGCAGTACTGGTTTATCCATACCCTGAGCAATAATGATTACAGCTAAACCACAGCCAAAAACAAAGCTCACAAATTAAAAGGCCAAGAAAGATAAACGGTTCAATCAAATTTTGGTCTAGATGAAATTACTTAGTCAAAATTGTGCTCAAGTCTTCTTTTTCTGAGCTTTTTTATTTTTACATATTCACAAGTATGTCTCAATTAGTGCAGCTTCCTAAGTGAAAAAGGGTTGACCTCAAATGAGATTTTTTAGCATAAAATTGGTCTTCAAAAAATATTTATAACCTCTTGATCTGGAGAAAAAACTGTAACAATAGGGTGGTATAGAAACTCAATATTTAATAGTGCTATACGCTTTTACGCAATTTACATGTGAATTGTACAAATCAAATGCAAGTAAACTTAATATACCCAAATAAAAAGAATACATCAGTGCTGTTCTACTAAAATTACTGTGTGTTTATCTATATGAATATGGGTATTTCAATTCAAATTATAAGTCTTCACACACACACACACACACACACAAATACATATATATATATATATATGTGTAGCATATCTACAAGTTTAAGCTACAACTATGAAGAGCTTATGATTATGTATCTTTATAGCCTACTTCTAATAAATGAAAGCTGTAATATTGTATGTAGTTATATCAATCTGCAATTTTGTTTGTCTTCTCGGACAAATTCTAGATGTAGCTCTAAACTAGTGTTCAATGGCTTAGCTTAATATTTTCATCAAAGCACTCTTTAGCTTGGATATGTATAAAAAGCTTGAGCTGTAGGTATTCCAGTTTTTTACAAGAGCAATATCATTGAATTAACCTATGCATATTATAATCTAAGCTCTGAAAATTAATTTTTTTAAAACATTCAATAAATTTCTCAGGTTTCTCTTTTCAGCTAAACCTATGTATACGTCTGAATCATGTACATAATTTATTTCTACAGAAATTGATCTGTACAAATATGTTTATTTATATGTATGTACTGTAGCAAAAAAATTCACAAGTGTTACAGTTAACATATACTCCAATATGTAAGTTGTTATATTTACCATAAGTAAACTTCATGCAAAGTGAAGAAATAAATTTGATAATTCTTCATGAAAATGGATTAAACTTTTAAAAGCTGAATGAACAACTGAAATTACTTGCACAATAAGAACATAAAATTCATAATCAAATTGACCATATTCAAACCAAGGCTGAATTCACAAGGGCAACTTTAGAAACTTTTTACAGTACCACCACATGTACTAGTTTCTAAAAAAATAGAAGCTTGTGTCCATTCAATACATATACCTTACCTCAATGTAACATTGGAAATAATTCATTTTAATAGACATACTTGCAAATTTGCTCAGAGCATGAAAAACAAATTTCAAACTGGTATGATATAATTTTTATGAGTTAGTTCTGAAGAATCTATATTAAGTGCTTTTCTTTTCTACTGTCAAATATGCTAAATAAGGTACAGGAAGTTTTGCATAGTTAAACGCAGCCTGTGCTGCACTAGCATCTACCAGTAGTTAAAGATGTATTAAGTTGGGAAAAATTATTTTAGTTTATTTTAGTAAGACAATTTTCATGTCAAAGTTTCACTTTAATAAATCCTAATAATGATAATGAAGTCTCTAAAAATTCTTAAAATTGGGGTGATCAAAACTACCAAAATAATATACATAAATGTAAGTATATATCAATTTATATATGTATATATCAATATAAATGTGAAAAAAAATATAGACTATAAAGATCATTTTGCACAGAATTAAAGACATCCAATTGGAAAAAAAATTAGGGTTTAACAACTAGGTTATATACTGAAACTTGAAATAGGGATTTAATGAGCAAAATAAAACATTTGGAAATAAAGTCATGTTCAATAACTATCTAAGAAAATTATCCATTAATAACTTAAAAATCCAGTACTATGTTCATACATCATTATCAACTAGTCTTGAACTTACAATCTTATTTTAAAATAAGGTGTCACAAATTAAACATAATAAAGTACAATGTATGCATATTAATCCCCCATAAACAGCATAAGTCTTAAAAAAGGAGCTGCTATTAACTTGTACACCTGAAGAGGCAGTAATTAGCTTAAGTATTCACATCACAAGAAAAGTCTCACTTACAATTATTCACAGATGCTAAAAAACAAAAAAAGAAGCAACATATGGACAGAATGATGCTTACTATAGCAAATTTAAATTTTAAAAGAATTACAAACTTCTCAGACTCTCAGTAACATGCTCTTTCATGTGATGTATTCTGGCAAACTATATCATAAACTATATTTCATATAATTATTACTCTTTAACTTTTGGCACTCAGAGGAAGAATGGTATAATCACATACCGGTAGTTTTAAATCAATCTTACTAACTTCTAAAAGTATGAAAAATTGCACACTTCCCAATCATATAGACTCCACATGACAGTTCAAAGCCATAAATGGTACAGTTTGGTCTTCTTTTCAGAATTAAACTATTATTCCAATAAACACAACAAAAACAATTAACAATCTCGTAAAATCTTAGCCAAGTTGTTAACATGAAAATATACTTGAGACCAGTGATATGAGTCACATAAGTACACGCATGCACAAACACACATAATATCTATATACAACAGACATATTTAAATTTCCAACAAGCACTAATAAGTATAACCAGCATTCATATGCATGTAATTTCTTAATGCTGCTACTGAAAAATTATTCCTGACCTGAGGTTTCTATCGAAAATTCTTGTATAATATGCATCATAAACTTTCTTAATTTTGCTAATTAACAGAATCCTACTAGGCCTTAGATTGGATTCCAAAAGATTCTGTATACTACACAATGGGTATTAGTATTAGTTCCCATTAAGAGAAACTTTCCATACCTGAGGCTTCACTCTTAAAGATTCTGTATTTGTACAAGACAAGGGAAGACTATAGTTAGGATGCCACAAGGTTCCCCAATAAATTGCATGGACTACATGTGCAACACGATAGTAAACATCAAATGTGTAATAATAATAATAATAAAAATTAATTAATAAAAAGGCTGCCATTTTAAATTCACACAAACAGCAAAACCGACATCTATGGTATAATAATGTGCCTAATGCTTGAAATATGTGGACCTTATAGTAAATGCATTTGAACCTGTAAACATGTACATGTTGGTATCAGACACTATGTAAAAGGGATATCTATAATACTAACGGTAAAATCTTTCTGCTTGACAATCCACTAATACATCAACTCTTTTTAGTCAGGTTTTTAGTTAAATTATTGGTACAATAAAACTTCAGAACTCTCAATAAAAGACACATATTCTTTGTAAGCCATAGTGACTCATTCAGTACAAATGACTCAAACAACAAAACAAAACAAAGCATGACGGGAAGGCAATGGCAATCCTAGTGTCATGGCAGTGTTCATATAGTATGTATGTACATATGAAATGCACTTTTCTGGCCATGGAGTGCCAAAAGGTGTTGTTGCTATTACTGTAAGGTCCCTGAAGTGTTCAAACATCCTTCTTGATCACTCCTGTAAATCTTTTCCAAAATATCACCTAGAAAGAACATTCTGACTTATCTTGATTCAGTCTAAAAATTAAGTTCTACGTGAAGATATTATAAAATTCAAATGAATAGATCTATGTAAAAATATAGTAACTAAGATGGCTGTGAGTTAAGCTAATAATTTCATAAAAAAATAAATTATGATGTTAGTTTATAAAGTATAATAATATAAGAAAAACAACTTTGAGTAGAGTACATAATTAACATAAACTTGAAGCTTTGAAACAAGTGGAAGCATATATGAAAAAACAGCCATATAAAATATTAGTTGTGTAGAAAAGAATGAAAAGAACTGATGCATCTAATCTTTCAATATATGGCCTTAAATCTTCAAAGTTGTGGCTGAATGCCACCACACAAGATCTCTCTACAGATGGTGACTACCAAACTACAACTTTTCCTCTATACATCTGTTTTCTATAGAACAACAGTATACTGGGTTCTGGGCAGCTTCTAAGTTAAGAAAAAGCACCATATTGCACCTCAGGGACAAAAACCACAACCCTTACAAGAAAATTCTACAACTAATCCTAGTAATGACTTCCATCAAAAGTACCCTGGATGTTCCATTATACCATAGTACTGTCCATTGTAAATCACTCCAATCTCCCTAAGCACTTCTCCCCTAATGGTTGCCTTGATTGTCCAATTGTGTATTTCAGCACTCTCCTTTTCCCTCTCAAGTTTTTGAACTTCCACTATTTTTGAACTCAAACGATCTAGAATCACACCAATATCTCTTATGTTAAGATGTCTATTTTGCTCTAAGGAAAGCTGATCAGTCAGAAGGAGGTAGTGTTCAGATAACTGTTCTTCTTCATTGGTTGTATTCTCAGTGTCCGATTCTGATTCATCCCGTCCAGGACTTTTAACCTCCTGAGCTTCATCAAGAAAGCGCACATGTCCTTTGGCTCCTCCTTTCTTATGCAAACTTACACCACTTGGGCCAGCTGCAGCAGCAGCCCCTTCTGGCATTTCCTGAATGGGCGAGGTAGCAACAGACTTATTCAATATAATTTGAGCACCCTCTTCATGTAGGGCAGAGCAATGGAAGTCACAAAGTGAATGATCATGATCAGGACTAGCTCCATGTTCTACATGTGTTTTCTTTGGCAACATACGCATGGCAGACTTTAGTCCCAAATCTTCTAGGGTAAACCTGGTATGAGGTCCAGCTGAACCAGGTATATCTTTAAAAGTGGCAGTGGTTTGATCCACAGTTTGAACCTCTTGAGATGTGACTTCCACCCTCCACACTGGTTCTCGCCTGCCATAGTAGCGACCTTTCTTCTCTGACGGACCCCGGAAGTCTCGCTGATCCCAGTGAAGAACAACTGTGACCTGTCCCTTATTGTCCATAATTTTCCAGGAAGGTTGTCGGTCCACCAACTCAAGGCTGTTTATGGCCTCACATACTATCTGAGGAATGGCTCTTATAGCTGCAATGGAGAAATGAAAGTAAGACAGACAGAGATCTTTAAATACATTAATTGTGTAGAACAATTTCTTAAAATAAGCCATGTTTTAAGTAGTATAACTAATACAGAATGGTCCCTTCTTCATGCACTTGAACTTCTACCAAACAAGTCCTTCTTCAGGTAGCTTAATACAATATAACCTTTTTCATGCATATTAGCTTTTACAGAACAAGACCTTCAGGTATTCATAACTTATACACAATACACCATTCTTCATGCCCTTAAACAGATCATGTCCTGTTTCATGCAATTATAAACAGCTAAAAAATAACCTTTAAAAGTCACTGAAAAATGATGATACAAAAGCTTTATAATACATACTATACATTAAACACTCAGTAACTAACAAAAAAGATAAAAATAAGTAATAATAATAATTCTGCAAATGTTATACAAAAATGTTGAAAAATTAATAAAATATTAAATGTAGCTTAAACCATGTAAACTGGATTACTTTAAATGTAATAAAATGGGTTAAATCATTTGTTTCTTTGTCTATACTAAAATAATACTTTAAACAGGGAATTTATAATTCATTTAAAAACAAATCAATTGTACAAAGTGTATGATCTGACAGCATATTTTCAGGTAATTTTTTTCTCAGAACCAATACATGTATTTTTAACAGCAGTGCATGCAACCTATGATGTTTTATCCCATTAAATTAGTAAACAGAAATTCTTCTAAACAATGTTTTAAAAATCAGTTAAACCTAAACATTAGAAACTAGAATCTGAATTACTGTATAGCTTATAAGCAATGTTTACCATTGTATCAGATATTGTAAGTTATAGAAGTTTCTTAAGTTGTGTAATTTTTTTAAAATATTCAGTCAAAGTTTGAAACCTCCATAACAAGAAAAAAAGCAGTAGTTCCACAGGTCTATAAAATAATACTTATTTTCATTAAATAAAATTGCTAGTAACCTAATTATAGGTTACTCACATAGTAGTTAACAGTGGAAAAGTTTCAGTTAGAACATTCAACTTGTTAGTTATGAATTTTGCATCACTTTTATGGGAGACATGCATCTCTTTTAATCACTTATCATCCATGGAAGGTTTTTTTCCCATTTCTGTAGCAACGCTTTGCCCACAACAAACCAGGCATAAGGCACTTAAATGGCATGCAAAACATTTGGCATAAATATACAAGTGAAGATGATGTCTAGCATGCATAAATATATGGATGGAGATGATAAAACTCATAAAGGGTTAAGAGCATTTTGAATGTCACTGTCTCTACTAACTGCACATCACTGTAACAAGCCCCAAAGACAGTATATTATTTTATTATATAAAAAATAAGGACTGATAATCAGTTTACCCACATATATTGATTTTACTGGATACATTATTTAAGATCACAAAATCCTCTCTACAAATTTTTTCATAAGAAGTTTCCTCAATGAATAATAGAAAACCATGGTGATAACAGCATCCTAATAAACAAGAAACATTATCAAAATGGACAACTTGTGTAATACTAGGAATCTGGGTAAATTTGTACAAAAAACTATTCAACCAAAATCTCTCATCAGTTAATGTGATGCTATGTGTACTGACCTACAAAATGTTAACATTCCATACTTGGTTCCAGATTTGTTTAAGATAACTACAGTAAGATTTATTGTAAGAAGAAATTTTATACAAATGAAATATATCTTACCAGCTCTGAGAGTTTCAACGCTAGGTGGTAGCCAATGTTCATTCGGACGGAGCAGCAAAAAAACTGTGTCCTTATCCACTGTCTGAAAATAGGTTTCATCTTCTACCTCTGTACCATCACATTCTAATACCACTCTTAACTGAGTATGGGGAGGATATCCAAGTTTCTCTCCACCTTAGAGAGTTGTGACAGATCAATGAAAAATATCACATATACACCTCTAAATTATAATTCAATTGCAATAAAATCAATTGTAAACAATTACACTAAACCCATACACGAGCATACCTGACACACTTCAACATTTTCGTAGAAAACAATCATCTGAAAACCACACTGTAGTTATTTGTTTATTGTTTAAAAATGGTGAACATTAAACAGGCCCTTATATATTAATTTACTACAAGTGGTGTCATCTACTAGAAAATTGTGAATATAAACTACTTATATACAGTGCATAGCATTTTGTATAACAATATCACTTGCACATATGCCTTATACATATTCCCTTGAGGAATTTTGAAATATTTTACTTCATTACATAGGGATACTTTACACGAACAAGTGATCACAAAAATGCACACCAATTGCTTGAATTTATATAACAAAAGTACAATTGATAATTCAAACTGAACTGCTTAAGTTTGAAAATAAAACTAAATTAATATAAATCAAAGGAATAATTGTGCATTGTCAAATTTAAAACTTCAGACAATAAAAGAATGTAAAGGAAAATAAACTCCAGCTTCTAAATAACAGTACTAATGCTTTTTATAGTAACAACCATGCTTCATCCAAAAAAATATACATATAAACACACACACACACATTTAAAGTAAATAAAAAGTATACAACTGAAATATTCAAATCAAGTGGGAATTAAAGCAACAACACTTTCTGTGATATTTCACATAAAATAAATTGTGCAAGTAGTAATACTGCTCACCTGATTCAGATATAATCTCAATCTGTTGATAAGCAGACTATTATACAAGAAATAAGATGGTTGCATTTATTACGGACTTTATTTAAGATCTTAAAATACTTTGAACAGACACCTACATTTTATTGATGGTAAAAATAACCATCTTGTAGTATAACTAATGTAGCCTTTGTTGTTTAATTGAAATTCCAAAGCTATCTGTAGCTACAAATGTATGTAGTTTTCCTTTGTTGAAAAAAAAACAACAAGATCTCTGTAAAAATAAAATATTTCTCTAAGCTTGTTCATAGAGATCACCTGTAAACATATTATGGATGTATTTTTAAAGTAGGATGTTACTTACAGCATTCTTTAGATATAAAGGTTTCAGAGAAGTGTAAATGAACAAATTATTGCGTCCCAAAGTTCAATTATACTAGGACTTGTTTTAAGTGAGTGTGTCTAAGATATCCATGTAAATTACTTTAAGATCTTAGTTAGGGGCAATGATGAACACAGTCTCTGTATAAGAAGTGTGCACTGATCAACAGGTCCAGAGAGATTATCAATTAATATGTTGCTAAATTTATAATGCAACATTATCTGGTTTTGTTAACTGTGCAAGTAGTCTTCACATACATGTAAATATTATAACTTACTGACAATAAAAACACAAATATTTACGTTACACCAAGGAGTTGTCTCTAGCAACTCACTGATTACACACACAGTACTGCTTTACAATGTACAGTAAACATTACCATACTCTGAAAGTCACAAAGTGCCTCCCCACAAATTAAAACATAGTGTAACCATAATACAATATTTTGAATGAAAAAGCAGGTGGTACATTCCACTTCAGGGGGAGACAAACGTGCAAATAAAACCAAAATAAATTCCAACTTTCCAATTGTCTTACACTGCCATTCATTTCACCAAACTTATACAAATGTCTTTGGGAAAACAAAGTAGCTTAACTGTAATTCTGTAAAATATACAAAAAAAAAACAGATGTAAGACTAGAATTGCCTTTACTCAAAAATACCCTAATTTAATTTAATTGCAAAGACATTTTCAATTTGGCCTTAAGTACTCTATCTTTATTTTCTCTTAACAGGGCAATAAAGTACTTATCCAGTGAGCAAAATGACAAGATGAAGCTTTTCACAACAACATACTGCATTCCAAAACAAGATAAGTCTATTCATTCTTTTAAACATTTGTATGAACTATAAGCTATCAATGGAATTGAACTTGGTCATATGTACATGAACAATAAAGAAGCCACTGACTTTATTTCATGCATTTATAAGGTGGCAGCAGAAGAATTAGTACACCATGTAAACAGTTCTGAATTATTTTCCATATTAATCGATGGTTCTACCCACAGGTCTGTGACAGAGCAAAAATAATTTATGTTAGTCTTCTGACTGAAAATGAACCTGAAAACTTTTTCCTTGGGATTATAAATGTTGCAATGCATGTGCTGAAGCAAGTAGCCAATAGAATTTATTGGGAATACTAACACATAACCTGTCAAAAATGACTGGGCAAGTAGTACCACCTCCACCCCATAGTATAACCTAGCCTCACATTTCATATCTAGCTGAAATATATAAATTTTGCAAAATCAAGCTTGACAAACAAAGAGGTAGAAAAGTGCAGTCAAGGCAGTCAAACATTGGTAAATTCCTTTGTGAGCCAATCAAAATTATGATCATTCATGAACTGAATTTGTGGCGTATTTATAGAATAATTACACAGGCCTGTGATGGTTTTATTATCTTGAAAATAAAACAGACCACAACACGTAATTTTGAGACTAAAAGACGTTGATGGATGAGGATGCATTTTCCCTTGACATCAATGTTCTTCCCTTTTCTTCAGTTTGTTTGTATTTT